GGTGTGTAAGTGGCAGCAGGCGTGGGGTGGCAGTGTAGTGGCAAACGGGTGTGGGTGGCAGTGGGTGCGTATATCAGTGTGGGCGGCAGATTGAGGGTGTGGGTCGGTGGCAGAATGAGGTGTGGGTGGCAGTGAGGGTGTGGGTGAAGAGTGGCAGAATGAGGGTGTGGGTGGCAGGTGGGTGTGGGTGGCAGTGTGTTGGCAGTGGCAGGAGAGTGAGAGGGGTGACAGATTGAGGTGTGGGTGGGAGTGGGTAGCAGAGTAAGGATGTGGGTAGCAGGGTGTGGGTGGCAGAGTGAGGGTGTGGGTGACAGGATTGAGGTGGGTGTGAGTGTGTGTGGTGGAAGAGTGTGGGTAGCAGAGTATGGATGTGAGTAGAGGGTGTGGGTGGCAGTGAGGGTGTGGGTGGCAGAATGAGGGTGTGGGTGGCAGAAATGAGGGTGTGGATAGCAGGGTGTGGGTGGTAGAGTGAGGATGTGGGTGGTAGAGTGAGGGTGTGGGTGGAAGTGTGGGTGGACAGGTCAGGGGGTACCCATGCCACCCCCCCCCCTCCACCTCACCAGGACCTGCGTGACCACATGCCCAATAAGGCAGTCACTGAGAGCCGACAGAAGCAGGGGTGGTAGTGGTGGTGGTGCTAGAAGTGGTAGTAATGGTGGAGAAGGTGGTGGTGGAGGAAGACGTGGTGGTGGAGAAGAAGGTGGAGATAGACATCGTAATCACATCGTTGAAACATTTTACTCAATGAACTAAACTACTAAACTATCCATCCACACACACACACACACACACACACGTCGACAGTAAAGACGTACATTGAGAGTTACTGTAGAGTGGAGAGAGGAATGGATAATAAAACACAAAAAGAAAACATCAGTTAACGAAGATGAAGTGTGAGGCAGATGCAATAATCACCGGCTTGTGGAGAAGAGATGATGAGGATAACGTAAGTAGTTAATGAAGAGCTGATACAAGGCTTCTCTTATCTGTCTTCTCTTCCTGTGTGTTTAGTTAATCACGTGTGTGTGTTGTGGGTAGCTCGAGTCGTTACTCTTTCTCCCCTAGTTATCAGTCCTGGTGTTTTTCTCTGTTATTCTCATCTATCTCTTGTCCTCATTCACATCTCTCCATCTTATTTATTCTCTATCTTATTCTACTTTGTTTTCTCCAGAGTTAGTATAATAATAATAAAAAAAAAAAAAAAAAAAAAAAAAACAAAAACAATAATAATAAACGTAACTTTCCCAAGAGTTTCCAAAATCGATACAACCCGAGTGACGTCACTCTAAACGTAATGGCTGACTGACACTGAACGAGAACCTCCTGGCCCCCTACAGTGGCACCAACCCCGCTGACCGATAACACACTAGGTGCAATCCTTTTGGAAGCCAAGTGCTACCTTACAAGCCTCTCTAAAAATTAGGTCTCAAAATTAGCCCCCGAAAACTGACCCCCAAATTAGCCCCAAAAACCTAGTCCCCAAAAATAGACCAACAAAAACTAGTCCTCAACAAAACTCGCCCCTGAAATTTGACTCGATAAACTTCTGCTCAAAACTTGACTAAAAAATTATCCTCAAATCTAGCCCTAAAACAAACCCCCAAACCAGCTCCCCAAAACGAGACCTCAAATTAGCCCCCAAAACTAACCCCAAACTAGCCCTCCAAAAAAATAGCCCCAGGTAAGACTTACGTGGAAGAGACCCAATGTCGAGGATCTGTTTCGGTTCCAAGCTGTGAGTTGAGGTCTTTGCGAGGCCTATGACCTAGCCATGGAGGCGTAGCTTCTGCCCGAGGGTGTTGTGTAGATGAGCTGTCAGCCTGGTTTAACAGATCCTCTACTGGACTCTGCTTAATTCTGTTGACCAATGGAAACCGAGTCATTAAGTCGATACAGAAAAAAACTACATAATACAGTACTACAATTACATAATACAATACTACAATTACATAATAAAGGAATACAATTACATAATACAGTACTACAATTACATAATACAGGAATACATTACATAAACACACTTCCATATGTTAATCAGAACATTACTTTGAACATAACTTTTACCGGTACAATATTCAAGTGCCTAAATATAAAGTTGGAAATATCCCTGACCAAATAAATTAATAAAGCTTTTATACGTTTCAAATTCTCGAGTCAAAAATACCAAGACTTCCCAGGACATGACAAAGAATTTTATTTATATTTTAAAGGTTTCAAAGACCCGCAAGCCAGATGCACTGTTTAAAATGGTGGTGTGGTGGCATGGTGGTATATTATATGGTGGTGTGGGTGATATAGGTACAGCTGGGTGATGGTATTTGACATGTGTTAATATATGCATCCGGTGGTATACGGCACTCAAGAGCACTGTGGCCCCCTGTGGCACCTTGGCCCCCAGTGGCATTTGCACCAGCAGGTATATGAATCCGGTGACACAATATGTTCCGAGTCACGCGTGCTAAGGTGCCAACATTCCCTAACATCACCAACTGCATGACTCCATACATAAAATTCCCCGATAAAATCCAAACCGATATTAACAGATACTATGATTTATATACGACACGCCCCACAACCAGTAAATCGTGAATTATTTCCGGACAGACAAAAAACAGTCCGATAACAAACAACGGATATAAGGAGGAAGGATCTTTGGCTGGTCCTGACATCATATCGGAGGCGCGACCTAATATGGCTGACTTGGTGCCAACAACATTATCTTGGGTGGTGTAGCAGCCACTGTATTCCAGCCGCCAGCCTGCTACCGCAAACCAGACACAAAACAAGAGCAGAGGAGGAGGAGGAGGAGAGACGAGGAGGAGGAGACGAGGAGGAGGAGAGACGAGGAGGAGGAGGATAAAGATAGCTGACCTGAAGATTAGCGCCCCTGCTTATATATTTCACCTGAAGATTAACCACCATAACGCTAATCTAACTCAACGTCCTAAGCTAACCTAGAATAATCTAACCTAACCTAATCCCCAAGATACTGAATTATCAGGTGAAATAATCTGGGAGGTTAATACTACAGATCCTAAAGTTGAGCACAAGAGAGAAACAAGAATGTGTAACGAAAATGATTGTAGAAACGGGAAGATAAAAAGGAGTGAGGCAGTATTTGAGAGACACTAAACCTGCACAGAGCAACAACAGGTACCAGAGAAGCAACAGGTACAGAGTAAAAACAGGTACCAGAGCAGCAACAGGTACCAGAGCAGCAACAGGTACCAGAGCAGCAACAGGTACCAGAGCAACAACAGGTACCAGAGCAACAACAGTACCAGAGCAACAACAGGTACGAGCAGAACAGGTACCAGAGAGCAGCAACAGGTACCAGAGCAACAACAGGTACCAGAGCAGAAACAGGTACCAGAGCAACAACAGGTACTACACAGCAACAGGTACCAGAGAGCAACAGGTACCAGAGCAGCAACAGGTACCAGAGCAGCAACAGGTACCAGCAGCAACAGGTACCAGAGCAGCAACAGGTACCAGAGTAGCAACAGGTACCAGAGCAGCAACAGGTACCAGAGCAGCAGTAGGTACTAAAGCACAACAGGTACCAGAGCAGCAACAGGTACCAGAGCAGCAACAGGTACCCAGAGCAGCAACAGGTACCAGAGCAACAACAGGTACCAGAGCAGCAACAGGTACCAGAGCAGCAACAGGTACCAGAGCAGCAACAGGTACCAGAGGAACAACAGGTACCAGAGCAGCAACAGGTAACAGAGCAGCAACAGGTACCAGAGCAGCAGTAGGTACCAGAGCAGCAACAGGTACCAGAGCAACAACAGGTACCAGAGCAGCAACAGGTACCAGAGCAACAGCAGACCAGAGCAACAACAGATACCAGAGCAGCAACAGTACCAGAGCAACAGGCCAGAGGAACAACAGGTACCAGAGCAGCAACAGGTACTAGAGGCAACAGGTACCAGAGGAACAAACAGGCAACAGAGCAACAGGTACCAGAGCAGCAACAGGTACCAGAGCAGCAACAGGTACCAGAGCAGCAGTAGGTACCAGAGAAAACAGGTACTAGAGCAGCAAAGGTACCAGAGCAGCAACAGGTACCAGAGCAGCAACAGGTACCAGAGCAGCAACAGGTACCAGAGGAACAACAGGTACCAGATAACAACAGGTACCAGAGCAGCAACAGGTACCAGAGCAACAACAGGTACCAGAGCAGCAACAGGTACCAGAGCAGCAACAGGTACCAGAGCAACAACAGGTACCAGAGCAGCAACAGGTACCAGAGCAACAACAGGTACCAGAGCAGCAACAGGTACCAGAGCAGCAACAGGTACCAGAGCAACAACAGGTACCAGAGCAGCAACAGGTACCAGACAGCAACAGGTACCAGAGCAACAACAGGTACCAGAGCAGCAACAGGTACCAGAGCAACAACAGGTACCAGAGCAGCAACAGGTACCAGAGCAGCAACAGGTACCAGAGCAGCAACAGGTACCAGAGCAGCAACAGGTACCAGAGCAACAACAGGTACCAGAGCAGCAACAGGTACCAGAGCAACAACAGGTACCAGAGCAGCAACAGGTACCAGAGCAACAACAGGTACCAGAGCAGCAACAGGTACCAGAGCAGCAACATGTACCAGAGCAGCAACAGGTACCAGAGCAGCAACAGGTACCAGAGCAACAAGTACCAGAGCAGCAACAGGTACCAGAGCAGCAACAGGTACCAGAGCAGCAACAGGTACCAGAGTTGCTAAATACCAGAGCAACAACAGGTACCAGAGCAACAACAGGTACCAGAGCAACAACAGGTACCAGAGCAACAACAGGTACCAGAGCAGCAACAGGTACCAGAGCAACAACAGGTACCAGAGCAACAACAGGTACCAGAGCAACAGGTACCAGAGCAGCAACAGGTACCAGAGGAACAACAGGTACCAGAGCAACAACAGGTACCAGAGCAGCAACAGGTACCAGAGCAACAACAGGTACCAGAGCAGCAACAGGTACCAGAGCATAAACATGTACCAGAGCAACAACAGGTACCAGAGCAGCAACAGGTACCAGAGCAACAACAGGTACCAGAGCAGCAACAGGTACCAGAGCACAGAGAGCAACAGGTACCAGAGCAGCAACATGTACCAGAGCAGCAACAGGTACCAGAGCAACAGGTACCAGAGAGCAACAAGTACCAGAGCAGCAACAGGTACCAGAGCAGCAACAGGTACCAGAGCAGCAACAGGTACCAGAGCAGCAACAGGTACCCAGAGGAACAACAGGTACCAGAGCAACAACAGGTACCAGAGCAGCAACAGGGACCAGAGCAACAACAGGTACCAGAGCAGCAACAGGTACCAGAGCAGCAACATGTACCAGAGCAACAACAAAAAAGAGCAGCAACAGGTACCAGAGCAGCAACAGGTACCAGAGCACAACAGGTAACCAGAGGAAACAACAGGTACCAGAGCAACAACAGGTACCAGAGCAGCAAAAGTACCAGAGCAACAACAGGTACCAGAGCAGCAACAGGTACCAGAGCAGCAACATGCACAGAGCAACAACAGGTACCAGAGCAGCAACAGGTACCAGAGCAGCAATAGGTACCAGAGCAAACAGGTACGAGCAGCAACATGTACCAGAGCAGCAACAGGTACCAGAGCAGCAACAGGTACCAGACAACAAGTACCAGAGCAGCAACAGGTACCAGAGCAGCAACAGGTACCAGGAGCAGCAGGTACCAAAGCAACAACAAGTACCAGAGCAGCAACAGGTACCAGAGCAGCAACAGGTACCAGAGCAGCAACAGGTACCAGAGCAGCAACAGGTACCAGAGCAGCAACAGGTACCAGAGCAGCAGTAGGTACCAAAGCAACAGCAGCATCGGCAGGTACCAGCCACCACCTGCCCAGGCAAGTCCTAGGAAAAGCAAAGACGGCAAAAATAATCAAGAGACGATGTGGTGTGTTGAGCCAACCATAGTCTACCAGGTGGAACAGCTCCTAATGTTTCCTCTTCCCCATAGTGCCATTGAACTCTCTACAGTGCCAATAATTTCCCCATACCCTCACCAATCCCCCTGCAGTGCCAATAATTTCCCTATACTGCCACCAATATCTCTGCAGTGCCAACACGATCAGTATCCAGAAGGCCTTTGTAAATGTTCACATGAGTGAGGGCATTATAATGACCTCCCATGATCCCCCACCAGGTAGAGGCACCACTGACCCTCTGTGAAACACACCGCCACACTGGTTCTTGTCACCTGTTACACACGACCCCCGGGGAGGTGTTGAGGCACAGGTGTTTTCCCCACTATTTGCAGCCTCGTGTCGCGCTTACCACCTGCCACGGCCTCTTATCGCCTCCTTCTGTGCTATGTCTACTGCCTTGGTCACTATATTAACATCCACAGTCTTTACTCCTGAACATTTGTAAAAGTCCTACGTCTACATTCTCAAAGGTTCGTACAATGAACGTTCCTCGTAGTTTAAGATGCATGAATGTGTGTGCCTACTTGGCTACCTTCAGCTATAACACCAAAATAAGTCACTGCAACTAACTTATAACAAAACAGCTCACGCCTCACACTCAACCGTCAAGTGACTATTTCTGTTCATCACAATAGCACTACCTCGACTTCAGGCTCACTACATTACTGCCCCTCCCTCCACCACTCACTGTCAGTCAGTGATGGTAAGAACACATACCCGCCATAACTACATAGTGAGATGAGCAGGAGGTCGACGCCGCGTGTCTTACAGCATTAGACAGTAACTTTACATAATAGGTGTGGGCGGGGAGACTGATTCCTCACAACACATTAAGACCACCACCACATTACTCGGCTGGTCCTGCCCCGCCCCGCCCCGTAGTCGTACCCAATCCCTCGTTGTTTGAAGAGACTACATGCCACTGAGGGCGTCGGTAGTCGTCGCCCCAGTGCCGGTGTCAACACCCCGAGCGACAACGTCATAGATGGTGAATGTAAACAGTGGCCCCCACGAGTCCCTACCTCCAAACTGGGTTAGGACCAGAGTGTTTACAGAGACGCCCTACCCCTGCCCCTGACCTACTCTCTTCTCCAGTGTACCTTCACATCCATCCCTTCTGGCCCTGTTTTCCCCATCCTTCATCTCCTGCCTCTGGCCACACCTACTCTGACCTTACCTCCCTCCTCCTCCTCCTCCTTCATTGGGCGTCAACCTGGGAATCGGTTAACCTGTAGCGGCCATTATCAGTCACCACTACACCAAATCTCTAACCTTCAGCATGCTATCATTACTTCCACGCCCCGAGACAGTGACCTGGCGAGGAGGTGGGCGTGGGGAGAACGACGTACCTGAAGCTTGGCCAGGACTTCGTGTGCAGTAGCTGGGTGGCTCTCCAGGTTGGCGCCCAGATACCTCATCCCGGGCGTCAATTCCACCACACGTAGCTCCAGCCATTCTGCACCGTAAAACAGCAAGAAACGCATCAGATACAACAAACACAAAGTAGATTCAAGGAAACACACATTAATACAAACAAAACACAAGGTATAACAAAACATATCTAAATCACTTTTGGTTGTCTTTGTTTATTTTAATTAATCTCCGAACATAACCCAATAAATCACCTATAAAGTATAAATGCCATAATACGTTAATATGCACAAATCATAAACGCCAGGACCCAGTACCGTTAACTCCAAATGGCTCCGGCTCATAAACCACTAAGTTAATTACACTTCATTTATAACCCACTTCATAACAGAGATAAAAATTTATGTAATTAATGCCCACAGCCTCCTCATTTAGCCAACAAGTAATTATCTTTATCTCACACGTCTATAAGATAATTACATAATTACCCTGACAATTACAGCCGCTTATGGTTTCTGTATTTTATAACTCAATTAACAGTACAGTATTTAACTACACCTATGATTTATATCTTTAACACTAAGTAAACATAGTGATAAACACTTCCCTTAAAAAACACAAGTCACTTTTACGTAATTTAATTTTTCCTTAAGTTTTAGCATTTAAATATTTTATCTTTAACTTTCTATGATTATCTATTTTACAGTTAATAACTTTCTAGTATGTATGTATGCATGTATGTACTGTATGTATATATGTATGTATGTATGAATGTATGTATGTATGTGTACGTAAGTTTGGAGTATGTACAAGTCTTCAACCCAACCTAACCCAACCTCAAGCAACCCAACCTCATCCTGTCTCGCCAACCCCACACCCCCAGTCCCCCACTGACGCCGCCGCCACCCACCACAGTACTAGATTTCGAGGTGTAGCGTGTGGGCGTCGGGCGTGGGCGAGGGTTACCGTCTGGGTCCGTACTAGCCAGGTAGATGCGATAGCAATGGCAGGTAAAATAAAGAGCCCTGTGGTCCTCCCTCTGAGACTCACACACACACACACACACACACACACACACACACACACACACACAAGATAATTTAATTGTGCAGTGTGAAACAAACACGCCCCACCAACTGCTTGAACCCTGCCCTGCCCCCAGCCCCCACTAAGGGTACACCCAGGATACAGGCCCTTATACCCTTACGAGCCCTCCTGCTTTGTGGGTCCGGGTTGTAAACTTATTAATATAGCTGAGAGAGAGAGAGAGAGAGAGAGAGAGAGAGAGAGAGAGAGAAGAGAGAGAGGAGAGGAGAGAGAGAGAGAGAGAGAGAGAGAGAGAGAGTCGTCACACATCACCACCTCCCACACCTCCATCACATCAGAGTCCCACAGGCTGTGCCACTCTACCTCTGAAGGCTAACCCATCCTCTAAAAATCAGTAAGGTTCCCAACCTGTGGGTCGCGGAGGGTTGGCTGGGGGTCGAGAAGCCTTGGGAGAAAGAACTTAGTACACAGAGAACATTACCAAACTTTATTTCGCTGATACGCCAGTAACACTAGAACACACATCATAATGTTGTGTCGGTGAGTAGGCACAAATATGATGAATTAATGATTGTTATGAATTAATGATTGTTTTCTTTCTTCCTCCTTCCCTTACTCAGAAAAATTTGTAAAACTGAAATGGCTGATGGCATGGAGGGGTGGGGGAGGTCGCGTGTGTTTCAGGGTTTTTGGGAAAGGGTCGCGAGTACAAAAAGGTTGGGAACCACTGCACGTGTTGAGTAAATGCATTATACATAAACAACATACTTTATACACCACACAACATACATTATACAACATACAAAATAATACCATAATCATACGACATAATAAACCATCATGTTTCATACATAATACACTATACACTATACACTATACATTATACACCATACATCATACTTTTAAACACTATACATATACATACTTTTTATACACTATACATATCATGCAATATACAACAGACCATACAACATACACCAAACAACATCCTGCTAAATACATCATACACCACACATTGATTGATTGATTGGTTGATTGGTTGATTGATTAAAGAGAATGATAAAAGTAGATGATAGAAGAGTATGATAGAAGTGGATGATAGAAGTGTATGATAAAAGTAGATGATAGACGTAATGATAGACGTATATGATAGAAGTGGATGATAGAAGTGTATGATAGAAGTGAATAATAGTGTATGGTAGAAGTGAATAATAGAAGTGTATGATAGATGTATTATGATAGATGGATGATAGAAGTGTATGATGAAGTGTATGATAGAAGTGTATAATAGACTGTATGATAGAAGTGTATGAGAGATGAAATGATAGAAGTGTATGATAGAAGTGTATGATAGATGTGTATGATAGAAGTGTGAGAGATGAATGATAGAAGTAAGGATAGAAGTAAATGATAGAAGTGTATGATAAAGTGTATTATAGATGAATGATAGAAGAGTATGATAGAAGTATGATAGAAGTGTATGAGAGATGAATGATAGAAGTAACGATAGAAGTGTATGATAGAAGTGTATAATAGACGTGTATGATAGAAGTGTATGAGAGATGAGATAGAAGTGTATGATAGAAGTGTAAGATAGAAGTGTATGATAGACGGTATGATAGAAGGATAAAAGGTATTATAGATGTGTCGATAGAAGAGTATGATAGAAGTGTATGATAGAAGTGTATGATAGAAGTGTAAGATAGATGAAATGATAGAAGTGTATGAGAAGTGTATGAGAGATGAAATGATAGAAGTGTATGATAGAAGTGTATGACAGAAGTGTGATAGAAGTGTAAGATGAATGATAGAAGCGTATGATAGACGTGTGAGATAGAAGTGTATGAGAGATGAATGATAGAAGTATGATAGAAGTGTATAGATAGAAGTGTATGATAGAAGTGTAAGATAGATGAATGATAGTGTATGATAGACGTGTATGATAGAAGGTATGAGAGATGGATGATAGAAGGTATGATAGAAGTGTATGATAAAAGTGTATTATAGATGAATGATAGAAGAGTATGATAGAAGTGTATGATAGAAGTGTATGATAGAAGTGTATAATAGACGTGTATGATAGAAGTATGAGAGATGAATGATAGAAGTGTATGATAGAAGTGTATGATAGAAGTGTATGATAGACGTGTATGATAGAAGAGGTATGAGATGGATGATAGAAGTATGATAGAAGTAATGATAAAAGGTATTATAGATGAATGATAGAAGAGTATGATAGAAGTGTATGATAGAAGTGTATGATAGTAAGATAGATGAATGATAGAAGTGTATGATAGACGTGTATGATAGAAGTGTATGAGAGATGGATGATAGAAGGTATGATAGATGAATGATAGAAGAG